AAAAAAAAAAAAAAACTCCAATCTTACATTGTATTCTGACCAGCTTTCCATGTCATAAAATACTCTTCTTTTAGGTTATTTTTGTTATTCATCCCCCTTGACATTGTCCCCACAACTTAGGGAAAAATTGTATAAGCCAGAGAAACACCCAGAAGAAAATAAGAAATTTGCCATGACGGAGCTTTTTGTCCTTAAGTGAAAAGTAATAGGAGCGTCCCGGGCACACGACAGGTCTAGAAGGGGAGGGTGAAAGGCAAACAGCATTGTGGGCAGAGCAACCCAGGGGGTGGTGGAGGGAGAATACATTGCAAGTGTGTCTGCAGTTTGGAAAGTTGCCGTCATTTCGGGGCTCCAAGGCTGAATCAGTGGCTTTTAGGTGGCCAGAGCCACTGCTAGCCTAAGGGTGCTCTATGAGAATTAGACAAAGTACCCTTTCTGGGGGACAGATGTAGCTTGGCCTGGGGACATGTGATGGGGAGGGTGGCTTGCAGGGTGCAACCCCAGCGACTGCCCAGCTGGGTACCCTTGCACAAACTGGAGGCATGGCCCTGTCTGAAGGGGGGTGTGGGTTGGCACTTGGCATCTGTCCTCCCAGAATTCTGGCCGGCTCACCCAGGCCAGGGTCTCTGTAGGCCCCAGGCTACTGCCCAGAGGCCTGAGTCCATGAATGGATCCAGGACCGTGGGGAGGCTGGGCAGCTCCAGTGCCTGCTTGCCTCATTCATTGTTGGTCTGTTTACCTGGGGGGGCCCTTTGCCTTAGCACATGTGTGGCCCCTGTGATTGGATAGAGTCCTGTGGGAAACCAATCCTAGTCAGGGAGAGCCTGGGGCCGTTTCCCCACAGGGCTCTATTCTCAAAGTCCCATAGCTGGGTGACCAATGTAGACGCAGGTCCCACGCCTTGCCCAGGAGGTCTGGCTCCTGGGAGCCCAGAAAATACCAGTGGGAGATGGGAGGTAGGGTGGGGCAGCCTGGCTGGGGTGGATATGGGGCAGAGATAGGGAAGAGGCTCTTCCTGGAAGGCATGGGGCACCTTCAGGGGTCCAGGGGGCCAGGGGACCTGAAGCCTAGGCCCGAGGCAGATCCTGACCCTGTACCTCCCATCCCCACAGGACATCAACAATGCCTGGGGCTGCCTGGAGCAGGTGGAGAAGGGCTATGAGGAGTGGTTGCTGAACGAGATCCGGAGGCTGGAGCGACTGGACCACCTGGCAGAGAAGTTCCGGCAGAAGGCCTCCATCCACGAGGCCTGGACTGACGGTGAGGCCAACCCAGCCTCCTGCCTCCCCAGGGCTTCACTTTCCTACTCTCCAGCCCAGCCGGCAGCCACTACGCTATTCTTTGCTTTTCGTTTGTTTCATTTGGTCTCTTACTAGTTCCATGGCATTAGGCAAGTTCATTAGCCTTCTGGTTGCCTCAGCTTCCTCATCTGTAAAGTGGGGATAATAATAGTACCAACCTCACAGGCTTATAAGAATTTAATCAGTTAATACATAACGAAGTTCTGAGGGCAGTTCCTGCATAGTGTAGTGCTGTGTGAATGTTCACCTTGCAGTCAAATGCTCTACCACCTGAGTGTTCACTTTGGTTTTTTGTTTTTTGGGGGGGTTTTTTGACACGGAATTTTGCTCTTGTTGCCCAGGATCGAGTGCAATGGCGGAATCTCGGCTCACCGCAACCTCTGCTTCCCAGGTTCAGGCAATTCTCCTGCCCCAGCCTCCCTAGTAGCTGGGACTACAGGGCCTGCCACCATGCCCAGCTAATTTTTGTGTTTTTAGTTTCACCATGTTGGTCAGGCTGGTTTTGAACTCCTGATCTCAGGTGATCCACCTGCTTCTGCCTCCTGAAGTGTTGGGATTACAGACGTCAGCCACTGCACCCAGCCGTATAATGTCATCTTAAGGAATTGTGTCTGCAAAGACCCTATTTCCAAATAAGGTTCAATCTTGAGGTTCTGGGTTGACATGAGTTTTATGGGGGACCCCATTCAACCTAATTCAGCCTCCTCATAGGGTTGTTGTGAGGCTTCACTATTATAGTACATTTCATGTTTATGGTTTTCATCTGTTCAGTTCTTTTTCCTGTATTTCCTGGCCTCCAATTACAATGAACCGGCCTTTGCCTTAGCACATGTGTGTCCGTTACTCCAACCTTGAGGCTCTTGGGGACGTGTCTGGTGTCTGCTTATTGGCAGCTAAGGTGAACTCTGAAGAGAGAGGATCATACCTAGGATAGTGTTTCCCCAGAACCTGGACCATAGCTGGAGGTGGGGAACAGGCTGCCCATCTGCTGGGGCCCCTCTGGCCATTTCAGCTGGAGTCTGGGGCAGACCCATTGGCCGGCGGAGCTCAGTGCCCTAAGACTCCCCCATTCAGCCCTGTTTTGTACTCCTCAGACCTTAGGTTGGAGATGAGAAGGAAGAACCATACCCCAAGGCCATTTGGGAGTGGCTTGGCTTGGTGTAGGGCAGCGGTCCCCAGCCTTGTTGGCACCAGGGACCAGTTTCATGGAAGACAGTTTTTCCACGGAGTGGGGAGGAGGCAGATGCTTTCAGGATGGCTGTTCTACTTCAGATCATCAGGCATTAGATTCTCATAAGGAGCACACAACCTAGATCTCTTGCATGCGCAGTTCACAATAGAGTTTGAGCTCCTGTGAGAATCTAATGCTGCCCCTGACTCAACAGGAGGCGGAGCTCAGGTGGTAATGCTCACCCACCTGCTGGCTCACCTCCTGCTGTTTGGCCCAGTTCGTAACAGGCCATGAACTGGTACCAGTCTATGGCCCGGCGGGTGGGGACCCCTGGTGTAGGGATGGAGTGTGCTTGACTGGCTAAGGGGGGTTGGGTCTAGTTCCCCTTTGTAAGTAAAATGCTGGGCTTTGCACACAATGGTAAGAGGTTGCTGCCCCCACTTCCACTGTGTGTGCGTGGAGTTATTTATCCAGGCGTGGACAGGGCAGAGTGGAGGAGGGATAGTGGGGATTGCACTGATTCATCACCTGCTTCTATCGGGTCCAGCTCACAGCCAAGGTACAGAGCAAAGATTGACTTTGTCGGCTTGCCAGCCACCAGCAGGGGCACGAGAAGTGCTGGCATGCTGGCACAGCCTCTGGGGAAAGCAGTTTGGCTACATGTATTCACGTCTACCAAGTTTACTACACTCTAACCTGGGAATTCCATTTCTTGAGACTGTCTAAAGAATCCATCCTGAACATGGAGACATCCGCACTAGGGCAAGCCGAGGGGCCCAGCACCCCACAGTAGGACAGTGAAGGGTTAGGGCAGTGGACGTGCAGCCTTTCAGCAGACATCTGCATGAGAAGACTGTGGAGCCAGGGTAGAAATTCCAATAATGTGCTGCTAATTTTTTTTTTTTTTTTTGAGACAGAGTCTCGCTCTGTCACCCAGGCTGGAGTGCAGTGGCACGATCTTGGCTCACTGCAACCTCCAACTCCCTGGTTCAAGCGATTCTCCTGCCTCAGCCTCCCAGGTAGCTGGGATTACAGGCGTGTGCCACCATGCCCAGCTAATTTTTATATTTTTAATAGACATGGGGTTTCACCATGTTGGTCAGGATGGTCTCGATCTCCTGATAACCTCGTGATCTGCCCGCCTCAGCCTCCCAAAGTGCTGGGATTACAGGCGTGAGCCACCACGCCCGACCAATGTGCTGCTAAATATTTTAAAAGCAGGAAACATAATTTATATATGCCCAAAGCGTTCACAGAATATCCACATAAGGAAAGACTGAATAGGAGTGGATAAGTAGGCTTACCTATAATTTTTTCTAAACTTGATGTATTACCATTCTGTTTTAAAGAAGAAAGAGCAGGAGGCAGGAAAGAAATGCCGCCTGGGGACACAGCCTTGGCTCCCAGCCCAGCCTTATTTTTTGAGACAGGCTGAGCATCCCAGCAGCAGAGGGTTGGGTGTGTGAGTGAGGGAGGCCGGGCCAGCCCCCGTCCGGTACCTGTCAACTTCACAAGGCAGCTGGTGAGCATCGTCTAACAATGACTGTGGGAGGTCATTTCTTGTTCCTACTTTCCTCCTGTGGAAACAAATTTAAGAAATGCAAGACCTGCTCATGCCCTGTAAAGAGAGGACAGTGTGTCTGAGGGTCAGAGAAGGCACTAGCCACTGTCGAATTCTGTACAGAGTGCACTGGACACACCGACCCAGGGAAGGGGCCCCTGCAGGGCTGCCGGCAGCCAGTGACAGTAACTGGGGACATTCTAAAGGCAGGGTGCCCCTGAGGTGCTTGGGTTGTTTTTTTCCTGGTTATACCAGAGGGTGTGGATGGCTGTTTCCTGTTGTGTTTCCTGTTGTGTGTATAGTGTCATGCCCTATGCGTTCCCACAGACTTCTGCATAGCCTTCCTACGTAGACACTTTCATGGCCTTGGAAGTGCTCTGAGGAGAGCAGTGCTTTTCCCCGTTGTGCCCGTGGTTGGATGTTCTAGTTGCACATCTGCTTTTGTACACTGCAGATCCCTACACAATGGGCACCTCTGTGGGAAGCACCCCCGGAAGTGGAGCTCCTGGGGCCCTGAGGGGTGGGCGGTTGGGACCAAGGAGATGCTTCTCACTCTTGCTCAGCCGTGTGGCCCTCTCTCAATCCAGGCAAAGAGGCCATGCTGCGACAGAAGGACTATGAGACGGCCACCCTCTCGGAGATCAAGGCCCTGCTCAAGAAGCATGAGGCCTTCGAGAGTGACCTGGCTGCCCACCAGGACCGCGTGGAGCAGATTGCCGCCATCGCACAGGAACTCAAGTAGGTAGCCCCAGATACCCCTACCCTGTAGTGCCCTGTGGTGAGGGGCCAAGGCTGGGCTTTCTCAGCTGCTGGGGGAGGTGGGGGTGTGGCCATGGAAGGTGGGGAGGGTGGGCACAGGTGGGTGCCCAGGTGGGAAGGGAGTCAACGCAGAAAATAAATATCTCTCCTGGTGGGGAAGAAGCCCGGGACCACTGCCTTCCTGTTAAAGGCCACCAGTTCTCACCTGTAGCTAGTACAGGAGCAGAGGGTGACCAAGCCTTGGTTCTGAGCTTTCTGGTTGGGCCTTGAGGGCTCCCTGCCATTGGCCATTGGGGTGAAGGCTGGTGTCACCTCCAGCCATGATTGGGGAAGGGGTCTTCTGTGGTCTTCTCTCTGCGAGTCTCCTGAAAGAGGGGAGGGGGTGGAAGGAGTACCTGGAAGGTCTCTTGAAGGGAGTGCCCCTGGCTCTTCCCAGCACCACCAGCCACCCCACTGGCAGCCTCAGGGAGAGGGAGATGGGCCATGAAATTAACCTGGGTCCCCCAACTTCCTTGTCTCTTCCCTCCCCAGTGAGCTGGACTATTATGACTCACCCAGTGTCAACGCCCGTTGCCAAAAGATCTGTGACCAGTGGGACAATCTGGGGGCCCTAACTCAGAAGCGAAGGGAAGCTCTGGAGGTGAGGGGTCCCAGAGGGAGAACTAGGCCCATATCCAGCAGTCCTGAGGTGCCCCTTCCTGCTTCTTGACTCTCTTTGCTTTGAGCTAAAAGACTATGGGTTCCCCAGACCTCCCCCAACCCTGGCCTAAATGTGGAAGATTTACTTTGGCACAGGATTTGGACTTTGCCCTCATGGCGATGCCTCCTCTCTTGCCCTCACTTGTCTCATCCTCCCAGTTTAGTGTGCTTTACAGCCCAACCCCAGCCATTTGAGAACCCTCCTATTCTACACACCAGACTCCGGGAGCCAGGCCAGGTGACTGCGATGTGAGATGGTTCAGACACCTGGCAGGAAGAGCTTGTTCTTTCTGCCTGATTCAGGCAGTGCTTCTAGACCTGGGGCTCACCAGAAGGATCTCGATAGGAGTGGGGGATGATTCTGGACATCACTGTACTAACCCCCACCCTATTTGGTACTCCCAGAGGACCGAGAAACTGCTGGAGACCATTGACCAGCTGTACTTGGAGTATGCCAAGAGGGCCGCACCCTTCAACAACTGGATGGAGGGGGCCATGGAGGACCTGCAGGACACCTTCATTGTGCACACCATTGAGGAGATCCAGGTGAGCCCCACCCCACTCCCCAGAGGCTGGATCCCTTGGGGCCCCTGGCCCATGCTCTGTGGGTCACTTTTGTAGGACTGTCCCTGAGGAAGAGCATCCCAAGGATTTTATAGACGCAAAACCTTTGCATTTGACTTATTTTGACAAGATAATATATGTGCATGGTCTAAAATAAAAAAAATATTCAAAAGGGTGTATGATAGGGTCTCCCTCTGACTCCTTATCCTCCAGTCCCTAGTTCTCTCCCCAAAGGTAAGAATTTGACTACAGTCTCTGCACACAAGCAAGTGTGTTTGTTTCCATGCTTTGCACCCTTTTTGTATAAAACAAAAAGCAGCTTTTATTATATACCATATTCTAAACCTTGATTTTTATTTATTTTATTTTATTTTATTTTTATTTATTTATTTTTTTTTTGAGACAGAGTCTCGCTCTGTCACCCAGGCTGGAGTGCAGTGGCCGGATCTCAGCTCACTGCAAGCTCCGCCTCCCGGGTTTACGCCATTCTCCTGCTTCAGCCTCCCGAGTAGGTGGGACTATAGGCGCCCGCCACCTTGCCCGGCTAGTTTTTTGTATTTTTTAGTAGAGACGGGGTTTCACCGGGTTAGCCAGGATGGTCTCGATCTCCTGACCTCATGATCTGCCCGTCTCAGCCTCCCAAAGTGCTGGGATTACAGGCTTGAGCCACTGCACCCGGCCTTATTTATTTTATTTTTTTAGAGACAAGGTCTCACTCTGTCACCCAGGCTGGAATGCAGTGGTGGGATCATAGCTCACTACAGCCTCCAACTCCTGGGCTTAAGGGATCCTCCTGCTGCAGCCTCCCTACTAGCTGGGACTACAGGCTCACATCACTATGCCTGGCTAATTTTTTAATTTTTATTTTTGTGGAAATGGGGTTTTTCTTTGTTGCCCAGGCTGGTCTCGAACTCCTGGCTTCAAGAGATCCTCGCATTTCAGCCTTCCAAAGTGCTGGGATTACAGGCATGAGTCACTGTGCTCAGCCATGAACCTTGATTTTTAATGTACCATTTATTTGGAGCTCATTTCACATCAATTAGCAGCTTCCTCAATCTTTCACGCAGCTGCAGAGTACTGGATTTAAAAGGTTTTGCCAGGAGCTAAGGAAGTCCACGTTGTGGGAGGTCACCTGGGGAGTGAGCCTCTGGAGCAGCCCTTCTCCTTGACCTGTCAGGTGGTGAACACGCCAGAGGGGTTGCTGTTAATTTCACCAGCCCCAAGGATGAAACTGTTGCTTTTGATGACTGTGGCTTCTCCTTCCTGTGGCCATACCTACCATCCCAGTTCTCAGCCACAAGAATCTTTGAACTGATGCCTCCTGGTCTCCCAGCTGGTGTGGAACTCAACTTCCATGGCCCTTCCACTCACTTCTAGCGCTCCCTTTGTTCCTCTTACCCATATATTCCCATCTCTGTCCAGGGACTGACCACAGCCCATGAGCAGTTCAAGGCCACCCTCCCTGATGCTGATAAGGAGCGTCTGGCTATCCTGGGCATCCACAACGAGGTGTCCAAGATTGTCCAGACCTACCACGTCAATATGGCGGGCACCAACCCCTACACAACCATCACGCCTCAGGAGATCAATGGCAAATGGGACCACGTGAGTTGAAGGGCATGGGCCGAGCCATTGTAAGTTTCATAAAGGCAGGGATTTTTGTCCATTTTAATTGATTTTTATCAATTTCATTTAAAATTGTCATATAGTAAACACTCATTGTTTGTCCAAATGTCAAATGACTGGATTTCCAGAACAGGTTGACGCCTTCACTCCTGTTCTGTTACTGACCGGCCCTTCCCCTCCTGGGTCCTCCATTTCCTCATCTGGCACATGGGCAGATGGCTGACCTGTCCCCAAAGTCGCCTTGTTATTCCTGCCCCAGGTGCGGCAGCTGGTGCCTCGGAGGGACCAAGCTCTGACGGAGGAGCACGCCCGACAGCAGCACAATGAGAGGCTACGCAAGCAGTTTGGGGCACAGGCCAATGTCATCGGGCCCTGGATCCAGACCAAGATGGAGGTGGGTCCCGTGCTGGGAAGCAGTGCTGGGGCTCCCACCCCTCCCCACACTATCCCAGCCAGCCAGGCTGCCTGTCTCCCTCGGTGGGACCCATGGAGGACTGAGGCCCTGAGCGCATCGTGGGTCTGCTCTCCTGTAGAAGGCTGTGGGGATCTATGTGAGGAAGCCCTGCTGGCACTATCTGATTTGGGAGCAAAGACATATGAGGACACCACTAAGAAGCTGCCTATGGGCTCACGCCTGTAATCCCAGCACTTTGGGAGGCCAAGGCAGGTGGATCACCTGAGGTCAGGAGTTCGAGAGCAGCCTGGCCAACATGGTGAAACACCGTCTCTACTAAAAATACAAAAATCAGCCAGGTGTGGTGATGTGTGCCTGTAATCCCAGCTACTTGGGAGCCTGAGGCAGGAAAATCACTTGAACCTGGTAGGCAGAGGTTGCAGTGAGCCAAGATTGTGCCATTGCACTGCAGCCTGGGCAACAGAGCGAGACTCTATCGCCAAAAAAAAAAAGAAGAAGCTGCCTGTGAAAGTCCCATAGGAGAGTCAGCTCCTGAGCACCTGATCCAGCTTAATTCCTTTGGTGTCTCTTGTTGACCAGGCCTCCCCTTCCTCTCCTCCTCCTCCTGAGCAATGAGCCTGGCCAAAGAAGATGATTGATCATCCCAGAAAGAGAACTGAACCCAGTGGAGCACAGAATGTTTTGCTGAATTGTGTGGGGTAGATAGTGGGGTGCTTTAGCAGATCAGGAAAGGGGCCCTGCTTGGCTAGAGCGTGGCCTCTGAGTTCCTTAAGGGCAGAGACCATGTTGAGTTCACACTTGTGTGTGTCGCCCCCCGCCCCCCTGCCAGCACATTGTCCTTAGTAGACAGGCAGGAAATAGCTACTGGATTGAATTGAGTGGACAGAAAGTGCTTTCACAAACAAGGGTTGTTTACATGGATGAATAACAGAGAGAAATGGGCATTAGGCCTGGCCTGCAGGGATGGATGGGATTCAGGTGAGCCAGGGCAGGCATCCCAGGAGGCGGAACAGCAGGAGCAAGAGCATGGGCACTGAGGGAGGTGAGTGAGGTCTGCCGAGGCTACAAGGATCCTGGCTCAGTGGGTCCCTGAGATGGACAAGACTTGGGAAAGGGGCATTTGAATGGCAAGCAGAGGAGTGAATGTTTAGGTTAGAACTGACCCTGCATTCCCTTCCTGAGGCTGACAGGTACCTGAGAGCTGGTAGGTATTTCATCCAGTGATAACAGTGCTTGTTATATACCTCTGTGGTGCTGTTTCCATACCTAGGAGCACCCATGCTAAAAGTGTCTTACTAATTACCAGTGATGGCCTCCTTAGGGCTGGGATAGGAACTGAGAATCATTTGAAGGCTTAACAAATGATTTTGGAGGCCCCAGTCCCCACCCTATGGGAGCAGAGTGAGGTGGTCTGACAAGGTGCCTCTTTGCCGGTGAGCAGGAGATTGGGAGGATCTCCATTGAGATGCACGGGACCCTGGAGGACCAGCTCAGCCACCTGCGGCAGTATGAGAAGAGCATTGTCAACTACAAGCCAAAGATTGATCAGCTGGAGGGCGACCACCAGCTCATCCAGGAGGCGCTCATCTTCGACAACAAGCACACCAACTACACCATGGAGGTGGGTGGGGCTGGCCTTGTTCCTCTCGGGGAGCACATGTCCCCTTCTGTCCTTCCGCCTGGGTGGGGAAGTCTCCAAGGAAACAGGTCATAGTTGGAGGATAAATTCACTTCACCTCTGAAGCCTCACATCTTCAACTTTTAGTACCTTCTGCTTTCCCGAGGAACGTGTTGAGAATACATATTTCTAGGCCCCGTCTCTAGAATTTGCTTCACTAGTTCGGGGGTGGAGTTCAGAATAAGCACTTCTGGTGGTTCCGGGTGCTGGCGGGCTCCAAACACTGGCTCAGGCACCTGCTTGTAAGATGGCTAGTTGTTTTAACTGTGAAAGTGTGTGTGGGCTGGGGTTATGGGGTTGGAGGTTCAGGGAATCACACATTTTTTTGTCTCAATCTTTCCTACCCCCAAATCTGCCCTCCTTCCTGACCTGACCCCCATTGGCAAGTCCCAGTCTCTTTGCTCTCCCAGGCAGAGGCTGCCACCCTGCCCCCTTGATCATCTAGGGTCCCTGCCCTAGTAGGTTGTCCTTGTCCTGGTTCCCCTCCCTCTGGTGACACTCAGCCACACGGAAGGCCAAGTTTGATGGCTTTAGCCATTTTGATAGTTGGGGAGTAGGGTGGATAGGGGCCGCCAGGATCCCAGGCCTGGGACCCCTTTGCTGACAGGCCTCTTGCCTTCCTGCAGCACATCCGTGTGGGCTGGGAGCAGCTGCTCACCACCATCGCCAGGACCATCAACGAGGTGGAGAACCAGATCCTGACCCGGGATGCCAAGGGCATTAGCCAGGAGCAGATGAATGAGTTCCGGGCCTCCTTCAACCACTTTGACCGGGTGAGAGCCCCACCCTGTGTTTTCGTAGTGCAGCCCCCAACCCCTGCCCCAGGGCCCTGGAGGGCACTTCCCCGGGATGTGGGCTGCCATGCAAGGGAAGAGGGAGAGAAAGGGGAAACTGCCATCAGCCTGCCCTGACTCGATGCACCCCACAAAACCAACCTTGGAAAACCTGTGTTGGTGCCTCATAAGCTTCCCTGCTTTCTGGGAGAGTGTGTTCATACTGTGGGTAGAAAGAGGACCTTTGACCCCTGACCCTTGCTCTCCTACCATGAAGAGTCACCCACAGTGAAGGCTTGCTGCTCCCTGGCTGTGGAGACAAAGGAGCAGAAGAGAGACTCCTCCTGCCCTTGCTGGCTCCCACCCCTACCCCGACCTCCAGCGGCCTCTGGGACTCTGCTGGGGATGTCAGAGGCCTTGGTCCTGGGTTCCCATCCCAGCTCTGGGTCAGGCCGGGTTTTAGTGGGCTGCCCCTTCCCAGTGCCCTGGGGCTTGCGGGCGGTCCCAAGGCGTGGGAGCATGTTCTTGGGTGCTGCCCACCACCCCTGCCTGCTTCATGGCTCTCTAGGCACCTGGGGGGAAGTCCCTGGGGAAACTGGGGGGCTGGGTCACTTCTGGGGGAGCTTCTCACCCTTGTGGCTCATCACACCCCACTCTGGTCCTGCTTCCTGGAGCAGGGCTGTGTGTGCTGGGGGGAGGGCACCCCCTGGAGCCTCGTTGGTGTGTCTAACCGTGTGCACTTTTATTTCCCCTCCTCCCCCGCCCCCACCCTCCCTCCGCATGCCTGTCCCTGTGTCTCCCCACACACGCCACCCTCCCCTGGGGCATGCCCCCCTCACGGCTCCACCTCCCTGACACCGCATGGCTCGCTGCCTGGCGCACCGCGGCCCCAGGATCACTCCGGCACACTGGGTCCCGAGGAGTTCAAAGCCTGCCTCATCAGCTTGGGTTATGATATTGGCAACGACCCCCAGGTACTCGCCTCCTGCATGGAGCACGCTCAGGGGTGGCGTCTGGGGCGAGAAATAATGCGTTTTTCCTTTTTCTCTTCTCTCTGTCTGGATCTCCTGTCCCCCTCCTATGGGCCATGGGGCTCGTCCTCTCCTGCTGTCTCTGTCTGCCCTGTCACTGGTCCACCCTCTGCCCTCTGCTGTCTTTCGTGGCAACCTGCTGGGTGCCCACTGTCTTCCATCCTCACCGCTCTTCATCCCATGGGTGGATTTTTGCATCTCCCTGCTCTGTCTTCCTCCTGTCTTTGGACATTGCCACCCATGTGTGTTCGCATCTTCTCCTCCTATGTTCCTTTCCCCATCCTGATCCTCCAAACCATAAACCTCATCCCCGCTCTGGCCATCTGTTTCTGTCTTCCTGGCCCTGGGCCGGCCCTTCCTCTTCCTGCCTTCCCGACCCTCCTTGTGTCTTGGTACCACTGCCCCCCACAGAAGAAGACAGGCATGATGGACACGGATGATTTCCGCGCCTGCCTGATCTCCATGGGTTACAACATGGTAACGTAAACCCCACCCTCTGTCTGCCCTGGTGAGGAGGCAGCCAGCTGGCGGGAGCGGCCAAGTCCCAGGAGTGGCAGGCTGGAGGCCCTCAGGCTAGGGATTGCCCTCCCTGGAGGAGCCACAAGGCCCATGTCCTTGGGGAAGATGGCTCCCTGAAAGCCGGCCCGGCCACCGGCCTGTGTGTATCCAGGAGCCCTGGCCTCCTCGTCTCAGTCTCTGTGCTACTTCATCTTCTGGTACTTCCTCACTCCCACTGTGGACAGCTGGGCTGACCCTGAGACTGGCAGGAAGGACTGGTGGTGTGGGACATCCCAGGTTGGGGGTTGGCCTGCGTCACCTCACATGGAGCATGGAAATTGAGACCTTCCACCTCTGTCCTGGCGGTGGCTCCGGTCGGGCCTGCTGCCCCTCTGGATTGTCCCAGGCCGTTCCCCACTCCCCAACCTTCCTACTCTGTCCTCCCTCACACAGACATTCTGAGCAGGGCAGTCAGGTGACTCCTGGGCCATGGTGCCAAGTGAAGAGCTCACAAGCTGCCCAGTGCAGGGCATGGGCATGGGGCTAGGAGCAGTGAACCTGGGAGTAAATCCCAGCCCTGCCATCATTAGCGTGTAGCCTCAGGTGAAGTGGGGGAACCCTACAGGACTGTTGCAAGGGTTAAATGAAGGAATTTAAGTCTGTGCATGTATCTGGCACATAGAAAATACAGTGTGGTGGGGAGAGAACAGATTCTAGAACCAGACTGCCTGAGTTCAAATCCCAGTTCTGCTGCTTCCTGGCTGTGTGACTCTGGGCAAGTCACTTAGCCTGTCTGGGCTTCAGATTTCTCATCTGTACAATGAAGATAATAAAATACCTACCTTTATGGTTGTAGTGAGGATTAAATGAATTGAAATAAAGCTTTTAGGTTAATACTTGGCATATAAGATATGCTGCATAGGTGTCAGCCATTGTTAATCGTTGTGATCACTGTAGTTATTATCAATATGATTATTTGCTGTAAGAGGAACCCAGGCATCTGCAGGGCATGGGAAACCCTGAGCTGGGTCTCTCCTCTTGGGTGTTGTGTCCCCATCATACCCTTAGGACAACCCAGGTTAGGTCAGGGGGGTGTGCCCTCCTCTTCCAGCCACAGGCTGATCTGAGCCCCCAGGGTCTTCAGTCCCTATGAGATATTCTCAGCAGGCCATGGGCTGACAGGCCTGGGGTTGGCTGTTTCCTCCAGGGAGAAGCAGAATTTGCCCGCATCATGAGCATTGTGGACCCCAACCGCCTGGGGGTAGTGACATTCCAGGCCTTCATTGACTTCATGTCCCGCGAGACAGCCGATACAGATACAGCAGACCAAGTCATGGCTTCCTTCAAGATCCTGGCTGGGGACAAGGTGGGTGTTCTATGGCATGGGCATTGTGCTGGGGTGGCAGGCACTGGCTGGACTGTGATCTAGAGGGGTGAGAGCTGGAACCGCCCCTTCTTCCAGGGTCCTTTGGCCGCTCCTTGTTTGCCACTTCTACCCATTTCTGTAATGCCTTGGGCTCAGCTAAGGTGTCAGGACACAGGATTAGTATAAGTGACCCTCCCAGGATCACTGCTTGCCAGTGAGGGACTCCATAGCTGGGATGAAATGACGGGTGGCAGAGGGGAGTAGAGTGGTGTGGATGTGTGACTGGACTCTTGGAGTCCATCTGACAACCCCTGGGACTTCACCCTTGGTATCATCCTGTGCATTGGCACGGACTATAGTGGGAGCAGGAAGAGGGACTGTGGGACACAAGAAGGAAGCACGTCTCTCGTGTTTTCTACCTTGAGCAGTGATCCACTCTGGGTTTCCCAGTCTCCCAAGTACCCTGCAACAGTCCACCTGGCAGTGGAGGGATGCAGGGGATTGTCTCCATGGATGCCAGAGGCTCAGTCCAAGTCTCCACTGTTCTGAGATGGTCATTGGTAGACCTGGATGTCACCCAGAACCACAGCCATCTCCAGCCCAGGGACCTGAGGGGATCTATAGAAGCCACAGATCCCTCAAATATTATAGAAAAGACTCACAGAGCAGCCAGAAGAAATGGTGGGGGTGGGATGTGGGCCTGGGGTCTGTGTTCTGTTCTGTAAAGTCACAGTAAATCCTTATGCCATCCTTCCTTCAAAACTGAAAAGATTCAGGCCAGGCATGATGGCTCATGCCTGTAATTCCAGCCCTTTGGGAGGCCGAGGTGGGTGGATCACCTGAGGTCAGGAGTTCAAGACCAGCCTGGCCAACATGGCAAAACCCCATCTCTACTAAAAATACAAAAAATTAGCCGAGTGTGGTGGCATGCACCTGTCATTCCAACTACTCGGGAGGCTGAGACCTGAGAATCGCTTGAACCTGGGAGGCGGAGGTTGCGGTGAGCTGAGATCGCACCACTGCACTCCAGTTTGGGTGACAGAGTGAGACTCCATCTTAAACGGAAAAGATTCAGTTACCAAAAGCAAAAGCCAGTAGGGAGGAGTATAATTTCTGAAATGTCTGTCTACAAGGGAATAAAGGCTGAACCTACAAAGAAGTCCCTAAAAGTCTGATTTAAGTACAAGAACAACCTTATTTGCATCATAGCACCTTGGAGCTGGAAGGATCCTCAAACCATTTAGTTTTAGTTGCTAATTTTGTAGAAGAGGAAAACTGGGGCCGAGATAGAGGCCTCATCTCCCAACTTTGGGATTGACAGTGGCAGCTCCACCCTCCCTCAAACTGGTTCCCAGGGCGCTCTGGCAGAGGTAGGGCATGGTGCAGGGGGACTACCTTGTGGGTCAGAGCCCCCAAATGAGCTCTCCTGGATCTTGAAGCTCCTAAAAGACACAGCTTTCAAATAGACCTAGCATGGGCAAAACCTGGGAGAAGGCAGATACCCAGGCTGGAGCTGCTTGGATGGGGCAAGGCCCACCTTTCTGCAAAGGAGCTTAAGATAGCCTGACCATATTTGGGAAGCAATGATGCCCAAACGTGGATGGTGTTCTTAATCTGCTGGAGGGCTCATTAAAATTAGACTCTCTGTCCAAAGCCTCCAGAGAGCTCAGCTGAGTGCGTGTGGGGTCCCCCCAGGAACCTATACGCTCCACCAGAGTATCTGCGGATACTGCTCCAGCACACAATTATTGCAGACTAGTGTGATTCAGAAGATGGTTATAGGTGTAATTGGCACATGGAATTAGATTGGAAAGTGGCTTAAAAAGTAGGTACTGAAGTGGAAAACCTGAGACAGTTTTAAAAATACATGTGTATGCGGTATGTACATGTGTGGATATTTATGTCCATACATCCTCTAGTTCCAGCAGGGAGGCATAATGCAAACGGCACGCGCTGCCTTCACGCAGCCGGGCTTTGCGGCTGTGTTGGGCCACCCCGCTTTACGGCTGCTGGACTTTGCGGCCGCCCTGACCACTCTCTCCCCGCAGAACTACATTACCGTGGACGAGCTGCGCCGCGAGCTGCCGCCTGACCAGGCCGAGTACTGCATCGCGCGGATGGCCCCCTACACCGGCCCCGACTCCGTGCCAGGTGCTCTGGACTACATGTCCTTCTCCACGGCACTGTACGGCGAGAGTGACCTCTAATCCACCCTGCCCGGCCGCCCTCGTCCCGTGCGCCGTGCCCTGCCTTGCACCTCCGCCGTCGCCCATCTCCTGCCTAGGTTCGGTTTCAGCTCCCAGCCTCCACCGGGGCGAGCTGGGGCCCACGTGGCATCGAGCCTCCCTGCCCGCGAAGTGACAGTTTACAAAATTATTTTCTGCAAAAAAGAAAAAAAAAAGTTACGTTAAAAACCAAAAAACTACATATTTTATTATAGAAAAAGTATTTTTTTCTCCACCAAATGGAAAAAAAGAGGAAAGATTAACTATTTGCACCGAAATGTCTTGTTTTGTTGTGACATAGGAAAATAACCAAGCACAAAGTTATCTTCCATCCTTTTTACTGATTTTTTTTTCTTCTATCTGTTCCATCTGCTGTATTCATTTCTCCAATCTCATGTCCACTTTGGTGTGGGAGTCGGGGTAGGGGGTACTCTTGTCAAAAGGCACATTGGTGCATGTGTGTTTGCTAGCTCACTTGTCCATGAAAATATTTTATGATATTAAAGAAAATCTTTTGAAATGGCTGTTTTTTAAGGAAGAGAATTTATGTGGCTTCTCATTTTTAAATCCCCAGAGGTGTGACTAGTCTCTTTATCAGCACACACTTAAAAAATTTTAATATTGTCTATAAAAAATAGGACAAACTTGGAGAATATGGACAACTTTGATATTGCTTGGCAAGAATGGTATTAAAACAACCACACTCCTATGACAGCTCTTTGCCTGCTCCTTGCTTGATGTTTTCTGGAAGTGTGTGTGGGGTCAAGGATGGCGTGGGGCACCTGTATCTACCCCTAATGTTTTTGACCCTGCTGTGTTCAATCGTCTTACACTTCAGTTTCTTCATTTTAAAAAGGAAAAGGTAATTTATCCAGTCTCCTATGAGTTGGACAGAAAGTCATGGATGCGTAAAGGACTTCTTGATGATAAGCCCCACCTTCATTTTTTCCACGGCATCAAACAGCTCTGTGACATCTGCATTCCCCCCACTCGTTTTATTTTTGCTGCAGGGAACAGCTTGAGTTGTCTCTTAAGAGTCATCTCATCCCTTACTATTCAAGATGACCCACAGATGGCAGCTGTTCGGCATCACCTGGGAGCTCATTGGAAATACAGAATCTCAGGCCCCATCCCTGAATGCCGAATACTGTGTGTACTGCTCTAGTTTCTCCAGAGTAAAAGACAGTCTTTATAGGACGCCGTCTGCTCTGGCACCAGGGCCCCTTAGCCCATGCCTTTTATCTGACCTTTGTTTTGCAACCCGTTACATCACTTGCCCCCGGGCATCCTTTGAATTTCATCCTTGGCCAATTCTCATTGTACCCTGTTCCAGCTTGCTTTAAATGATCAGGTGGATGAAATTCTCCCCATTGACAACTGACAGGTAGCAATTAATTGTTCATGCGTCAGTGGGATGAACTCATTACATCTCTTTCCTGCCTATGTGGATGTATAGCTCTTACATTTTTATCTACCTCTGACTTTTTTGTAGGGACTTTGTTGATAGCCTCATGAAGGCCCATCTCTCCTCTCTCTGGCCTGTCCATTCCTTAACAAAACCCTAATGACCATTCTGGTACCAAATCTGTGGCAGGAGTGTGTCCTAGCTTCTACCCACCTCTTCCATCACTGGACCAGCTCATAGTTTGTCCCTTGGACCTGGGGTTAGTGCCCAACAAGTGTAGTCATTTGGTGAAGTAAGTTACTAGAAGAGAGAACAGATTCAATTTCCTGATGTGGTGAGGAGAGGCTGAAGCCTCTTTCAGTTCCTTGGCCTATGCCAGGCTCTCTGGTACTTCTGCAGGTGGCATGAGCTGTGTGAAGCGCCTCTGAATTTAAGGCTCCAAAGTTCTCCGACAAAAACAAGACTTTAGACTAGGGTCTGCATTATGGGCGCCAAGGGAAGAAATACAACCTCAACATCAGTGCCTGTCAATGGAGGCAGATGTGAGCTCAAGTCTGCCTGCCACTGGCCAGTTGGATTACCTTAGGCAAGTGACCTCCTTAAATGGGGCCAATAATGTTGCTTTCCTTCTCTCTCTGGCACACAGTAGGCATGTAATAAGTGGCAATGGGTATTGTCCCTAGAGTTGTATAAAAAAACTGCTGTAGCAGGGCATGGTGGTGCATGTCCGTAGTACTAGCTACTTGGGAGGCTGAGGTGAGGATCGCTTGAGCCCAGGAGTTTTGAGTCCAGCCTGAACAACATAACAAGACCCTGTCTGTAAAAGGGGGGAAAAAAGTCAGCTGTGCTTTGTTATGCTGTTTAAAATATTCTTAAAGAAAAAGGCCTGATTACGGAAAAATACCATTAAGGGAAGCCGTCCTTCAGTCTCTGTGCTCTGTAGTAGGCTGAGTAATGATCCCCCAAGATGTCCATGTCCTAGTCCCTGGAACCCATGATTGTTAATTTATATGACAAATAAGACTTTGCAAATGTGATTAAGAATCTGGAGGTGGGGAGATTGTTCTGGATTATCTGGGTGGGTGCTCAGGGAGCAGGCGTGTCAGCATCAGAGGAAATGTGACAACAGAAGCAGGGGTTGGAGTGATGTGAGGCCACAAACCAATGAATGTGGAGAGCCTCTAGAAGCTAGAAAAGCCAGGGAAACAGATTCTCCCTGAGAGCCTCCAGATAGAATGCAGGTCTACAGACCCATTTTGGGTCTCTGTTCTCCAGAACTGTGAGATAATATGATTGTATTGTTTTAAGCCACTTCATTTGTGATAATTTGTTACAGCAACCATAGGAAGCTAGTATGTGCTCCACCGTTCATGCCTGGGGAGCTGGCTGCCTTCCTGATGTCAGTGACCCGTGGCATAGGCATGACCTGCTGGAGAAACTGCCCTAGGTTCAAAGGCCTGAGTGTGCAACACTGGCCCTTGGGAGACTGCCTTAGCTGCTGGACTTGACTTCCTGAGCCCTAAAAGTGCCATCCATGGAGAGGGCAGAAGGAAGCTTCCAAGCTTTGAGAGCCCCAAAAGGCCAGAATAGCTGGGCCCAGCAGGAGATGGGTGGGCTGCTTAGCTCAACTGGTTAGTGGCAAAGGGCTGAGGCTGACAGCTGTGGGCTTAATCCAAGAATGGGGCAAGTCACCTCACTTGGAGGTCTCTAAGGTCACAGGCTGCCCCTCCCTCAGTGCCCCCTACAGATGAGGCCAGGCTTAGGGGGACAGAACATAGGTAACTGGGCAGTAGCTGGACCTGAGCTTTACAGGACACTCAAACACTGCCTTATAGGATCCTCATCTAAGCAGTAGCTCTAGAAGTTGCTTTGTGAGTTGTTTTGTGATCATCATGGCTTTCACAGCCCCAAAAGGGGTGGAGAAGCTGCTATCTGAAATGCAGTTGAGACCTGAGCAAGCACAGCAAAGGTGGTGACATTTGTCAGCGACATGGGCCAACTAGCCAGCTTAAAGACACAGGGTAAATTATTGTAAGGCTTCCTGTTGTCTCAGATGCAGGAGCCAGAGGGCAGTCCAGCTCCAGGTAGGCACCAGCCACAGAACTGGAAAGCCCTTGGGAGGCTGAGGTCCTGCCTTCTCTCTAGCTTTTCTTGGCCCCTCTGTGTGTCAGCCTCCCTCCTCTCCCTGCAGTCCAGCTTTGGGTGCACACCTCCCCATGGTGGCAGAGGCCAATTCCGCAGTGCCTAGTGTTGACATTTTCTTAACACAAGAGACTAGTTCCAATTCCAAATGTCCAGGACGCACTTGGCCCAGACTGACCTGGTCTGATAAAATGATGCCTGTCAGTGGCTGAAGCTGGGGCCATTGCTCATGGGCTAGATTGGGTATCACCTTTAGGATAACCCAAAAGGTAGTCTCATAAGAACTGTCTCAATTCATCAATTTTCACATTGTAGCATCTCTGATATTGAGATACAGCATACAATCGATCTCACTTTAGGATTAATGGTGTCTTACAATTGCTGTTGGCCAGACAGCAGTCATGACTTAGTGTCATTGCCTGCCTATTTGAGACAGGAATGTGAGTCCTGTCTGTTGTCTCAAAAACTTCCATTAATCTTATCTCCCGGTAAGATCAAGCTCCAGTATCAACACTTGCATAGTGGGTCCCCAGAAAGAAAATGCTGGTGATCATGGTGTAGTACTGGCTTAAGAAATGCTAGCCAGGGTGCAATGGCTTACACCTATAATCCCAGCACTTTGGCAGGCTGAGGTGGGCAGATGTTTCAAGCCCAGAAGCTCAAGACCAGCCTGGGCAACATGGTGAAACCCCATCTCTACTAAAAATACAAAATTACCTGGGTGTGGTGGTGCGTGCCTGTAATCCCAGCTACTTGGGTGGCTGAGGCAGGAGAATCACTTGAACCTGGGAGATGGAGGTTGCAGTGAGCCGAGATCATCCTGAAGGAAGGAAGGGAGGAAGGGAAGGAGGGAGGGGAGAGAGAAAAAGAAAAAGAAATGCTGCATTTTCAGTTCTATTGATGGCACAGCAGGCAATGGTGTGTGAAAAACAGGCACTTAAAGACTCTGAGCCGGGTGCAGTGGCTCACGCCTGTAATCTCAGCACTTTGGGAGGCTGAGGCAGGCGAATCATGAGGTCAGGAGTTTGAGACCAGCCTGACCACATAGTGAAACCCTGTTTTTTTGTATTTGTAAAAATACAAAAAATTAGCTGGGTGTGTTGGCGGGTGCCTATAATCCCAGCTACTTGGGAGGCTGAGGCAGGAGAATCACTTGAACCCAGGAGGCAGAGATTGCAGTGAGCCGAGATCGCGCCACTATACTCCAGCCTGGGCGATAGAGTGAGACTTCATCTTAAAAAAAAACAAAAAAAAAACACTGACAAGGGATTCAGAAGAGAGTTTTAGCAAATTTGCTTTCCTCATATTGTACATGATACATGTCTAAAAAAGTCTGAGCTCTTTCAATAAGTATATAATAATGTATACATATATGAGTACGTAAAGAACATAATAAAATTCTAAAGAAAGCATTGTGTTAATGGTTTAATTGGTTACATTTTATAGCTCATAAAATAATGGAGCATCTATAAATCTGATCATATCTTAGTTGAGTATCATATGGCCTATGGGCCCTATTGCCTGTCAAATCCCCCAAATCTGGATTCTATTTTTGATGGAAGAGGAAAAGAAAGATCCATCCTAAACTTAATCCAAAGGCAATGGAAGGGATGTCTGGAGGGCCTGGGTGGGTCGGCTTCGGAATGGAAGAGGACTGTGAGAAGTTAACCTGGCGATACCGATTCAAAGAGCCTGCCGAGTGAAGCCCCCTGAAATGGGGAGAATAAGAATCTTAGAGGTTGTTCAGTAGAAGTCTTGGAGTGCATTTTCAGTAGTTAAGGGGAAAAAAAAAATGACTACTCTTAAAAGTTTAAAAACCAAAGTCACCCTTACTTCATCCCCAAACTGAGGAGCAGGAGATGGAATGGACACTGAGGAGCCTAAATCTGTTGAAGTTCCCTCTGGGGTCCAATCCAGAAGGCATCATAGCCTTTGGGGTCCATGGAAGAAAGCAGTTCCATCACAGAGAGCCCACGAGTTCAGCCAGGGAAAATGCTCACTGAAAAGCAGTAGAAGTGGAAGCTGTAAGAATATTAGGTCCCGCCGGGTGGGGTGGCTCACACCTGCAATCCCAGCACTTTGGTGAGGCCGAGGCGGGCGGATCACCTGAGGTTGGGAGTTTGAGACCAGCCTGACCAACATGGAGAAACCCAGTCTCTACT